CATTGAGGTCAGGGCACATGCAATGAATAATACAGCATTCACAGGAGAGGAGGACCAGGCAAAAGGCCTCATAAATATGCTGTGATTACCCAGTGCTAATTCTTATTCAAAGAATGAATGGCATTAAAGCCAACTCCTAGGTTTCTCAGCAGTTAATCTGTTTTCTTTGCTTTTAGGTCTTCTGGCCATAACAAAACTTATTTTCTATAAGCATTTTTCTGAAGTATTCCTTGACTGTGCATTCATTTCTATATGTGACTGCAGACTTGAACATTAATAGCAGTCAATGTTGTCCCTTTTTTTCTTTTCTTTTACTTTGCTAAAGCATGCTTATGTGAATAGGTTCTCTTTACTGTCTTGGAAGAACGAGGAATAAAAGGATAATAAGGATACATCACATTATATTAAAGATTAAAAAATGAATTTGTATTGATATACTTCTATGTCCTATTTTCAGAAACTTTATTGTGTGGAATCAAGTAATGTTTGATGTACAATTGTCTAATATCCCAATATTACACAAATATGCAAGTGATACATATTGGGATCTTTAACACAGAGTTACAGTATATGCAGGCATATATAAGCAAATCTATGCAAAGGACAAATTGTAAACTTAATAATTGATTTATTAATTTTTGTGACCATACAAAAACCTAATTGATGTGCAGTATTTTTATTTGGTTTTGGCTCTTGATCCAGGGTCAAAGGAAGAAAACTATGAAAGTTAGTTTCATAATATCTCACACATGTACAAAAGGGACAAAGCTTCTGTTCTGATAACACAATGCTACTTTTGCCATTTTAATGAAAGCACTGTTTCCATCTATATATTTTCTCTCTACAACTAGAACCTTCCAAAGTTGGCTGGGTTGAGGGCAAGTGACAGGATTAAGTCACCCACTGAGCTTCCATTACTGCGCCTGGACTAGAACCTGGATTTTCTAGCTCATAGTCTAGAATATTAATCACTGCACCACACTGACTGACAATATAAATAATCATCTTCAATCTCATTTCATAATTACTGTATGTATGTGTGCACACACATGCATGCCTCAAATTACTTTTTTAGCTCCTGGCAACTGCTGCATTAATCCCTGCAATTTTCTTGGCAAGAAGTAGTTTGCTTCCTGGGGTTAAATGAGAGTATCTGGCCCAAGCTCACCCAGCTGGCTTTGTGTGCAAGGTGGACTAGAACTTACAGTTTCCTGGGGTTCTAGCATGGTGTCTTAACCACTACACCAACTGACTCTCCACTTCAATCTTTCCTCAGAATTGCTGCAGATATTAGTTAATGATGATAATAGATAGATGGGTGAACAGACAACCAATTTTGCTGTGTCTGGGTGCATGCCCGCTGCTCGTGCAGCCCAGTTCCCTTCTCCCCCTTAGCTGGGCTGCTGATGTTGGAGACAGCTGCCGTAGAACATCAAAACAATTTTTAAAAATACTTCGGGATAATTTATTCTGTTAAAGATATGTCAAACCATATTTATGAAATGTTACTTGTTCTACAGCTTTGTGAATTATATCTTGGAAACAACTTTCACTAAAAGGAAATGAACCTTTTGGCTTACTATTTACCACCATCATAGTTATTTCCTCATCGTAGTGCTATTATTCCAAAGTAAATTTTAAGGATATTTTCTTAAAGGAGTACACAAAACTGAAGATTGTTTTATTCCATAATCTAAATGTGTCAAATGGATCTTTGTATCCAAGCTTTTGCATTAAAGCTATATAATTTATAGGAATGTTAATCTGAATTTATTTTACAAGAATTTTGCAAATTACTTGGTTTTATTTAGTGACATATTCATCCATAGCAATGAAAATAAAATAAACTATCAAATTGACAGCTCTCTATTATTGATTATTGATAATACTAATTGTTGACTGGATAATTATTAGTTATTAAACTTTCCAATTGATAAATTGGCTTTCTTTAAAGAGACTGAGGGATCAAATGTGTTCTCAGAATTTTACTCTAAAATCATATAGCTTTTTTTTTTTTTAGTTTTGTGCATTTCAAAGAAACTTTGTGTTACAACAAATTTCATAGTTATTAAACTAGCTGTGTCTTTTTCTAGGTTTCTGCAGCTGCTACTTCTAGTTGTGTCTGCAGTATCTGCATACCCAACTATTTGCTTCGTAATTTCTCCAGGATTTGTCACTTCAAAAACAAGTGTTCCTTGTTTAGCCCAGCACATTCAAAGCACCTCTTTCAAAGTTCTTTCACAATGCTTATATTGAACCACCTTTTGCTTCTAGATATGCTCCATGCAGCTAAAAATAGAGAATCAAAAGCCATATGAATGACCTGTCTCTGTGGATAACTTACCTCTTTAGTTATGTCAACCCATGATTACACATAGTGGGAATGATTAGTATTGTTTAAACTTATAAAATTACTATAAATATCTACTATCTTTAATAGATTGTTTTTCCTCTCATACTACACTGAAACAGTGACTAATGACCTTTGCCCTACTCATGCTAAGTGGACATCTAAGCAAGCAGCAATAATCACCAACTTTGTTACAGGGAAACTACCACATCTCTTTATTTAGCTGAAATGGATGACAGCTTCAGTTATTGTTAATTGCCTCCCCCAACATATTACAATTAAACATGATTCAAGAACACATGTTTGGTTCAGTCATGAATGCATGAAGCTTGGAATGCTCTAAATTGTCACTCTCCAGTGGGCTGGTTGCGTCATGCACTGGCCATGCCCATGCCCAGTTTAAAGAAGAGGGGGAGTCCCAATACGTCATGTGATGCCACCATGACAACATGAGTTTGATACCTCTGCCCTAAATCATTCTAGTGAAATTGAAAAAAAAAAATAGAAAAAAATAGTTCAAACATTTAGAAAAAGAATGCTATGTGAATATACTGGCAATGCTTGATTGTGGCTACTGGGGTAGCAGAACCAGCTTTTCCCAACAACATTACTATCTCTTCACCGCATATACTAGCCAGTGTATGGGACCCCTATATAGGCAAATGGATAATTCCCTGGCAGACTTGGAGTTGGATGTAACCTCTCTTCCCTACTGGGAGGAGATAAAGCCCCAGGCTCATATGTTTATTACATACGAAGTAATAAAAATAATTTGGAATGGTGGATCCCATTCCAAACTAACTTCACTTTTCTGCAATTGATTGTTTGGCCATGATACAAAGCATTGGGGTTTGGCTATTATAACACTAATATATAAGAAGGGCAAAGGAGTTGATCCAGCTAACTACTGCCCAGTTTGCTGAGTCAGATCAGAGAAATATATGCCAAACATCTACAAGGGAAATAGATTGAGTTGAACCTGAGGACATTCTGAAGGAAGAACAGGTTGGGTTTACAAAAGGACAGTCAACATTAGACTATGCCTAGGTGCTACAACACCTTGTAGAATAGCATACCCACAACTCAGGACAATTCCTTTATGCAGCATTTAGCGATTTCAGGTCAGTTTTTGCTACAGTATCTAGAACTGAACTGTGACATAAAGTAAAAGAAATATCATAACTGACAAAAAGCTACTCTTGCTGCTCATCAAAATTAAGAAAACCAGATTGAAGGTTAGAACAGTAATCAAAAAAATGCCACAGAGGAATTAGTCTGAGATGTGTATTGGTTCTACTTTTATTCAACTACTATATAATTAGTTTTTCATTTAAATAACTCTACCTTTCATCCTCCTATGTTTGCCCAAAGATGTATCTATTTATTATTGTATGCTGATGATGCAGTAATCCCGTTATTACCCTCCATTGGTCTTAAAAGAATTCTGAGATCACTTATGTTATCATTGGACTGAGAAGGAACTAATAATACATTACATTAAGACTAACAGTCCTACTTTCTTTAAGTGCTCAAAACAGAGGATCTGGAACTTAGATCCATTGAGCAGGTCAAGCTTTTTAGAGATCTAGGAATAGTTTTCAAGCCTCAGGAAGCAAAAATACTCACCTGGACTATGTATCCCTCAATGCACATAGATGTGCATCAGCTACACAAACTTATTATTTTTACAGAGGAGCACAGTTTATCCCTGCTGCAATTAAGTTGTTTGAAGCTAAAGCCTGAGCACAATTGCTATATGGCACTCAGTTAGGACAGTATGATCAATTTAGGAATAATTCAAACAAAATTTCTAAGTATCTTCCAGGTTTCCCACTGTGTTCCAAATGCAATACTTCGACAAGAAGCAAGAGTCAGTAAACTTGAATCTAATTTTTTTTTTACTGGTTGAAACTAGATTACAATCATAGTGGGCTGACCCATCTAATATTGACAGGCAACTACATATCTTACTAGAAAACAGCAATCCAAAAGAAATTGAGCCTCTATGACTTTCTAATAATGTCATCTTAACCTTACAGTTAGATCAAACCAGATCAGTACTAAGGCAAAATATCTTAAATATATAAGGTCAAATAGAAATCTCTCACAATATACAGTACTAGCAAATAACCAAACTTTGGTGCCTAAACCAGCCTCATATTTATATTTATCACAATTCTTATATTTGGGGAAATTTATCTTTAGCTTGGTTTAATCTCCCAACCACTGTCCTGGAATGGAAATATAGGAAATTATATGAAACCTAATATTGCCCTGTGATTTAGGTGCCATAAAAAGCACAGCCCATGTTCATCTGTATTCTACGGGGACATTTGCTACCAGTTAGTTACACCTACTTTATTTAAATTTCTGGGGCGCTCTGATAACTTTTATCATTTAAATAATCAAGATAAATTTATTATACCAATTCTTAGTTCTGCCATTGTTTATGCAATCTAGTTCACATATTTGTTAACTACAAGCTTTTTACATTTTATGATATTTTAAAATTATTCTAATTTTTCTGGTCTCAGTTTATCAAATGTATTTAAATTTGTGCTATTTTATTGCAGATGTTATAAAACTATTGCCTGTTTTTCAGTTATATTTCACTTGTTGGCTTTTTTCTTTCTTTTTTTCTTTCATTCAGAACAAATTGGTCAAGACATATTAGAAAATCTGAGTCATGACAGAGAGAAGATCCAGCGTGCTCGAGACAGAGTAAGTTTAAATAAAAGAAAAACAATCTTAGTGGAACTCAATATTTATAGATAATATTAATGAATGGGCCTCTTTAATGCTTTTTTTTAAAGATAGGCAGAGCTTCTGAAATGTTTTATCTCTGACTATTGTTCAAACATTGTTCATTGTTCAACATTATTTATCCATAAAAATTATTATTTACATTATTTCTAAATTGTTATCTGCCTTGCCCTAATTAACTCCGGGTAGCTCAAGTTCATATCCTATTTGTCAAGCCACAGAGTTTCCTACACTCTTACTCAAGAAGTTGTCAACTTCAGATATTTAGGATGAAAGTATGTGTTCTATCACTGTTAGTGTTCTCCATTAGAGAACAAAAATTGTAGTGATTTTTATTTAATAATGAAGTTTGTGAGTTGAAAATCTCATATTTCATTCTCATATTTCAAGTAGATAATCTAGATAGTTATCAATTTCTTTTGTTGTATTGTTCTTACTTTTTTTATCTACGTTTCTCAGAATCAAGTGGCCTCTGAATTCTAGTAAATAAATAAAATTAAATATGTGAAGATTCTGCCCAGCAAGGATCAATTAATGTTAACAAAATTGAACTCAATATATCTGATCATGTTCAGTCTTAGAATATTATTCTTCCACAGCTTAGAGAAACTGATGCAAACTTGGGAAAGAGTTCAAGAATCCTTACAGGAATGTTACGAAGGTAAGAGCAAGGTAGGGATCCTTTCGCTTTCTTTTTCTTCCTTTTTCTCATTTAGATTTATAGATAAAATTCATAATTTTTATCATAGTATTATATAATTTCAAATGACTTGAATTTTCAGGTAAGGAACTGGCCTGATAAGATAGGCAACTAAAATAAAGTATAAGTAAAAGTATACAATAACCCAGTGAAGAATTCTTGCACTTATCTTGTAGAATGGAGAACACAGCCTCTGAATTTCTCTTTTTTCATAAAGTAGAGAAGTATAGGGAGACATGAAGATGACCTTCTAGAAACCACCAAGAAGCTATTAAGTCCAAACTAGGGGCAGAACCATCTGTTAAGGCATAGTGCCTGCAGTGCAAGAAAAGAGTGTTGCATCACATTCTTATTACCAAAGTGTGAAACAATTTGAACTCTAATTAATTTTTCTTTGAACTCTGTGCTTTGAGTTTCCTTTCCCAAATATGAAAAATTCATAATAAATTATAAACCGTATAAAATTTTCTTAAACAAAAATTTTATCATGAATTTATAAGTACAAGATCTGTACAGGTGGTCTCCTTGTACTGCAAAGGGGGGCGGTGAGGAAGTGATTTTAGTATACAATCTCTTCTTTGCTTGATATCTCCTTCCATCTACTACCCATGGTAGAACGGAGATTTTAGAGAGAAAGCAATTTCAAGACACTGAGCTGTTTTCACTTCTACAAATTGTAAGCAATGCAATCATACCAACAAAGAGAAATTATTAGTTATTATATTATACATTATGTTAATTATATTATATATATTATATTATTATAATATTATGTTGTCTAAGGTATCTACTTATCCTTAACTTTCTAAAGAGAAAACAGGATTGTTTTTCCTCTTCTTTGTACAATCAGATTACAAAGGATAACATAACTGCACTTTGCATCCAATTCACAAACTTCTCACACAATTTAGTTCCTGAACTGTAGCATACCAAATTCTCTGATTAAGAATAATATGTAAATGGCACAAGCTAAATTCAATATCCATGGAGAAAGGAAGTGGCAATTGAGGGAGATGGTTCAGCGCCTGTAGACAATCAATATAATAATAATAATAAAAAATCCTTGGGCAAGCTTATAGCCTCCCCAGGAAAGGGCTGGGATATGAGCTGTAACGAATATTCTGCATATGTCTCCATTTTGTCATATCTCATTAAAGGGGCTTCTTGCTTTATGTCAGTTGAGCTGTCCAAAAATCATTCATCATTTTTAGTGTAAAAAAAAAGTCATACAGTTGTTTAAATAATATCATATTAATGTTAAAGTTCAGCTGTCATTTAAGAATATGGCTTAATCAGACATAGCATTTAAGAAAAATAGTTTTTTCGGGCCTTACTTCGCTTTCAGGTTGGCAGATTCAAATAAGGATTTATGGGTTTCTAAACCAATGTATTTTCCCATGTTTATGCTTGATGAACCTCAGCTTTTCTTTCAGGTGACTGGAGTTCAGGAGTCCGTTATTTTCAGCAAAATAAAATAGTTTTTTCATACAGCGTTTGAATACATTTGCAAGTCATCTAGTGAGAGAAAAAGAAAAACGAACTATAACCTCTGACACTGTGTGCTTGGGAGTCTGTCTAGGACTCCTAGTTTATAAGTGTTCCATAAGACAAATGAAAATTGTGAAATATTCATGGGTTCCTGTTCTCAGACAAATGCATTATGTGGTCAGATGTTTAAAAAGCTTTGTCATTTCTTATATATATTTGAGAAAGGCATTTAATTTCTTTCGTTACAAAAGTAACTCCTATGTAGATGGTTTTACTTGTCAGAATAGAAAGGAAGGTTTTACTTTTAATTTTATAAGTAAATGCATTGGTAAAAGTGATAGCAATTTACAAGTTTTTGTCATTGTGCTGACATGATGGATACTATGAGGTGGTAATCTTATAGTATGCTAGGAAAATTGACTGAAAAAAGTATACTTATGAAAAACAATTTAAATTTGCTTTATAAACAAATTTTGAATTGTAGGATCATGGGTAGGGGAGAGGAGGAAGGAAGGAAGGGAGCAAAGGAAGGCTCTGAATAATATTTATCCTAACATTCCTAGAAAATAGTATCATAGAATGGCAGTCAGTTTGCCTTTTCTTATATAACCTTAGTAGATGCCTTGTAGATATGCACTCAATTGCTCAACTGAAAACTGAAAACTGGAGAGTTTCATTTTATTTTGTTGAAACACAGTTTGTTAAACTAAAGTGAGAAAACCTTGCTGCATGTTGACTCCATTAATTCATTTGCCACTATATATTTGCCATCTTGATTTTATTCCATAATATTCTATGGTGAGTTTCTTATCTACCGTAATTATTGAATAGATTCATTACCTGATCATTTAAATATATTACTATGGCATCTGAAAGACCAAGGAATGTATTATTCCATATTCTTGGAATATTTTCTTAAATCACTCCTTTTCATTAGTGACACATATATAGTTCTGGGGAAAGGATATATGAATAGAGCTGTTGTTGGAAACAGAAGAGGAATGATGAAGGAAAAAATGGGGGATATAATTATTTCTAAATAGTGACTGCAGGGGTGAAATCCATTTACCTTAGCTACCAGTTCACAAATGGGAGTGTGAATGTGTGCTCACTTCGCTTGCATGCGACACCTCTGCACATGCACAGGACCTTTTGCGCATGTGCAAAGCATCAAAAATGGGACGTGATGACGTCCGGGTGGGTGGGCGGAGCCTCCCACTGCTGGCCTATCAAGCCGGATAGAACTGGTTGCATTTCACCACTGAGTGACTGTGAACGAACAGTAGTTAAATGTGATATAGATAACTCTTTCTTGAATAGCAAAAAGGAGTGGTAAGAAATGTTAGAGTGTTAAAACCATGAGAAATTGTATTAAATTTTCTAGTGCACTCTACCCGATCAATTTCACAGTGATAATATCCTGGAATGTGAGTATGTGTTTGTGCATACTCCTGGTGACTCTCTGTACAAGTTCCTGTGGTTTTCTTGGCAAGTTTTTGGAAGTAGTTTGCCATTGCCTTCTTCCTAGGACTGAGAGAAAGTGACTAGCCCAAGGTCATCTGGCGGAATTTGAGGCTAAGGAAGGACTAGAATTCATGGTTTCCCAGTTTTGAGCCTGATGCCTTAAGCACTATAGCAACTGACTCTCTAGGAATTTGCAAGATAATAGAATAGAATAGACTTCTTTATTGGCCAAGTGTACATAAAAGAAAAGATACATTCGTCAAGAATCGTAAAGTACAACACTTAATGATAGTCATAGGGTACAAATAAGCAATCAAATCATACTAGGAAACAATATCAATATAAATTGTAAGGATACAAGCAACAAAGTTACAGTCATACAGTCATAAGTGGGAGGAAAAAATGGGTGATAGGAATGATGAGAAGACTAATAGTAATAGTAATGCAGCTTTAGTGAATAGTTTGACAGTGTTGATGGAATTATTTGTTTAGCAGAGTGATGGGGTTCGGGAAAAAACTGTTCTTGTGTCTAGTTGTTCTAGTGTGCAGTGCTCTATAGCATCGTTTTGAGGGTAGGAATTGAAACAGTTTATATCCAGGATGCCAGGGGTCTGTAAATATTTTCATAGTCCTCTTTTTGACTCGTGCAGTATACAGGTCCTCAACGGAAGGCAGGTTGGTAGTAATTGCTTTTTTTTCTGCAGTTCTAATTATCCTCTGAAGTCTGTGTCTGTCTTGTATTGATAAGATAAGATAAGATAAGATAAGATAAGATAAGATAAGATAAGTAGTTTTTCACAGTTACCAAACTTACAATCTTTCAAAATGTAACTGATACAAAATATAAGGCTCACTAACATAATGCCTTCTGTTATCAATAGAATTCTGCCTGGTCACATATCAAGAAACTTATTTCTTCACCCTGATCTTCATATCGAGTTTTAAAAGGCTAACACAATATTTTAATATTTTGTTAAATTTGTCTCCATTCAGGAGTCATAAAAAACAAAACAACTTAATATTTTCAATTATCTTCTAAACAATAGATAAAGAATGAGAGCTACCAATGCAGGGGTGTCAAACTCGCGTCGTCACATCGTCATCACGTGACATATTGTGACTTTTCTGTCCTTCGCTAAAGCAGGTGTAGGCGTGGGCAGTGTGTGACGCATCCAGCCCATGGGCCGTGAGTTTGACACCCCTGTACTAATGTATGCAAAAATAAATCTTATTTCATTCCAATAGTCCAGTTTCAGCATTATTGTTTTCCTCTAGAATTTCTAGGGTGCTAATTTTTAGTAGTTTCAAAACTTTATGATAGAACTGGAAAAGGGGAACTATATAGGAAAAGATGCCAAAGATAAAATATATCCTCAAAGTTAAAGCTCCTTGAACATTGGTACTATAATTTGGAGTATAAGAACATTACTGTACGATCATAACACATAGTTTTATTTTTTAAATGATAAAGAAAACATTTTAAAGACATAAGTGTAAATACAGATCTTTCGGGAGAAGTTTTTTCATTAGTGATTCCAACCAGAACGTAACTAAAACTTTGAGCAACTTCAAATGATATTTGAACTTATTGGAAAAGGAAATTTATCAAATAAATTTAAGGAAGAAATTCTTTTAAACGGATATTTTGAACTGAGTCCTGTGCTTTTATTTTAGTTATACAATAATATCTTCTTCATTAAAGATGTAATTATATAGATATATATTTTTTCAGTTTAAGAAAATCACGTTATTAATTAAAAAAAAATTGTTTGAGTCAGCAATTACATTTTAAGCACATTTAAAAGCAACTTTTTGATGCTAAAAATACTTAAAGTCAAATGAAATGGCCTCCAGTTTCTTGAATTCTTGTGCCAAAGGAGATTCAGCTAGTCCTCCTATCTGATATTCTGCCGACATATAAAGGCATTTGTATTTAGATGGAATGTCGGGTTTTGTGCTTACTTCTAAGGAAGCTAATTGACATTAGCTCTTTTTTTAATTGTTACCGAAGTTTTTAATT